CAGCTCACAGCAATCTCCAACTCCTGGGCTCAAGCCTCCCAAGTAGCTGGGACCATAGGCACCTGCCACAAGGCCCGGCTATTTTTTGGTTGCAGTCGTCATTGTTTGGCGGGCCCAGGCTGGATTCGAACCCACCACCTTAGGTGTATGTGGCTGGCGCCTTAGCCACTTGAGCCACAGGCGCTGAGCCAGCATTTTTTTTTTTTTTTTAAATATAAGTAGGATGGAGTCTTGCTTGTTGCCCAGGCTATAGTGCAGTGGTGTGATCACAGCTCACAGCAACCTCAAACTCCTGGGCTGAGTAGTGGGGACTACAGATGCATGCCACCAGGACTGGCTAATTTTTCTGCTTTTTTTAGAAATAGGGTCTTGTTGCATTGCCCAGGCTAGCCTCAAACTCATGGCCTCAAGTAATCTGCCCATCTAAACCTTCCAAAGTATTGGGATTCCAGGCAAGAGTCACCATACCTGGGATGGCAAATTTATTTTCAACTCTTAAAGCTGTTTGTCTCATGTGATTACCTGCAAATTGCTGCTAAGTAAATACAAAGGAGCTAGGAAACATCCAGGAAAGAATTAGGGGCATCCCTGTTAAATTCAGCCCACATTACCCAAGTTCCTGCTGTGTAGGGACAAGGTACTTTGTTATTTTCTTAATCGGATTTTCTGACTCCAAATCTTAAACTCTTTCCAAGGGAAAACAGCAGAAACATTATATATGACTCTCCACACCTGCCCCTTTGTCCCTTATCCACTTTTTACAGCCAACCTTCTGAAGAGCGGTCTGTGCTGCCTATGTCTGCCTCCCAGCTACCCTGTTCCCAAACCCCTTTATAAACCGTGGTAAATGAATTTCCCATTGTAATCATTCTTAAGTGTGCAGCTCAGCGGCACTGAATACATTCACAGTATCGTGTCTCTTTTACTCTGAAGTTTCAACATGTCTCAAAGTCACAGCTGCACAGAAAGAATTAACTAGTAGTACTCCCTGAGAAGAGCAGGCCACAGCCCCATTTGTTGTATACTATTCTTTTTTTTTTTGAGACAGAGTCTTATTATGTTGCCCCCGGTAGAGTGCTGTGGTGTCACAGCTCACAGCAACCTCCAGCTCTTGGGCTCAAGTGATTCTTTTGCTTCAGCCTCCAAAGTAGCTGGGACTATAGGTGCCTGCCACAAAGCCTGGCTATATTTTTTGTTGCAGTTGTCACTGTTGTTTAGCAGGACCAGGCCAGGCTCGAACCCGCCAGCCTCGGTGCATGTGGCTGGTGCCCTACTCACTGAGATACGAGAGCAGAGCCAATTAATTTTTTTTTTCTTTAGAATCAGTCTCATTTTATTGCCCTCAGTACAGTGCCATAGCGTCACAGCTCACAGCAACCTCCTGCTCTTGGGCTTAAGTGATTCTCTTGCCTCAGCTTCTCAAGTTGCTGGGACTACAGGCACCTGCCACAACACCTGGCTAGTTTTTCTGTTTTTTAGTAGAGACGAGGTCTCTTGCTCAGCCTAGTCTTGAACTCTTGAGCTCAGTAGATCCTCCTTGGCCTCCTAGAGAGCTAGGATTATGAAGGAATAAACCAAGAAACAAGAATTAGAAGTATATAGCAAATGGGGTAGTGGCCTGCTCTTCTCATAACAGAGGACTCTTTAAAAAATCTTCCTGTGAGCTATGACTTTGAGACATGTCGAAACTTAAAAGTGGCAATGCTAGGATTCTGGCCACTGCACCAGCCAGAAAACAATTTTCATCAGGAATCCAGAGACACAGCTCAGTTGCCACCTTCAGATACTGCTGTGGAGACATCTGAAGCTGTTCTGGTTCTTGATCCTTTTCCCACGTGACCTGTTTCTTCCTCTGGAAGCTTCTGTCTTATCTTTTTCTTATTTGTCTACATTTCCTTGTCACCTTATCTACTTTTCTCCTAGCTACCAACTCCTCAGGACTCTTCAGAGCCACAGTTCCCTGTCTACCTCACCTTTTGACTTCAGCTTCAGAGAAAATCCAGACCAACAAGCCCCAACTCTCTTACCAGCTGTCTTAGAGGAAAGCAGCTTTGGTCTTTGTTTCTTTTTTTTTTTTTAGACAGAGCCTCAAGCTGTCCCCCTGGGTAGAGTGCTGTGGTATCACAGCTCACAGCCCCTCCAACTCCTGGGCTCAAGCGAGTCTCTTGCCTCCGCCTCCCAAGTAGCTGGGACCACAGGCGCCCGCCACAACGCCTGGCTATTTTTTGGTTGCAGCCGTCGTTGTTTGGCGGGTCTGGGCTGGGGATTCGAACCCGCTACCTTAGGTGTACATGGCTGGCGCCTTAGCCTGTTGAGCTATAGGAGCCGAGCCTGGTCTTTGTTTCTTATGGAACTAAAAATGATAATTACACTACCCATCAAATCTTTGATTTTTACCCCAGACAGCAAGTTTCATAAAGTGCCTTAAAAATACCTGATCAACTACCCCAGGTAACTTGGCTAAATGCCTCGTGGCAGATCTGTTAAAGGTGAGACTGTGCTATGGGTGGAACAGCCAAACCCTCCTAGATCTCACTTTCTAGTGGTGAGGAAGGGAGAAAAAGTGAGGAAACATAACCTGTGTGTCAGTGACGCTTGGTAATAAGGAAGAAGCCACACCAGTATCTAAATACTTGCAAACAGTCATCGATACCCAGAGCCCTACTAACAGCCAGGCAGTCATTCCTTCGACAGTGGCTCAGACGATAATTTATTGGGTAAACTTTTATCTGGCATTGGTTGAGACAGTTTACAGACCAATTATTATAGGAAACCAGGCTGGGCACAGTGGCTCATACCTGTAACCCCCGCACTCTGGGAGGCCAAGGCAGGTGGATAGCCTAAGCTTCAGGAGTTTGGGAGCAGCCTGACGGAGCAAAAGCAAGACCCTGTCTCTATTAAAAGTAGGAAAAAAAAACTAGCTGGGCATAGTGGCAGGCACCTGTAGACCCAGCCACTGGGGAGGCTGAGGCAGGAGGACTGCTCAAGCCCAAGAGTTTAAGGTTACTATGACTTATGATGCCACGGCACTCTACCCAGGACGACAAAGTGAGGCTCTGTCTCCAAAAAAAAAAAAAAAAAAAAATTGGAGGCAACCAAAGCAGTCTGCTGAGCCAAGGGACAGCTAACTGAACCGTAGGTGGAAGCCCAATATTTTCATTGTTACAAAGGGGTCGCAACCCACAGGTTGAGAACCACTGCTTTATAACAAGAGCTCTCACAAGGACTCCCAGAAACCCGAAACTCAGAGGAGCAGCGAGCTCATCCCCACCTCCATGTGAGTTGAGTATCTGGCCAGGTGAAGCAGGGCAGTTAGTCCTTTAACGCATTAAGTCATCTGCTAGGACCCTTTACCCCTGTATCTTTATAGCTTCCTCAGACTTGCGGAAGGACTGCTGACTGCCAACAAAGTGACAGCGTAGCCTTCAGGCCTTCTGGAGGGCAGTTCCTCACCTACCACCCTTCATTTAACTCAGTTAAACTCAGTTACAAAACAGTCTCAAGATCAATCTTCAGCACATTAAGCTTTACATTTTTTTTTAACATAATTGTTTTAAACTAGAATGTTGGAGAACTAGGAAAAAAAGCTGCAGACATGCATTTTCTTTAAAGTGGAGGATGGGGCTGGGCCTCCCTAGGATAAGGAATTCTCTGGAAGGCACTCAGCCCCACAGGGAAACAGCAATCCACGGACAGTGTAAATGACAGAAAAAATAAGTGATTACAGGGTGATTTCAAAAGTCTCTCCTTTACTCTGAGATTCCCCAAATGCTTCAAGAAAACTATAAAAGCAACTCATATAGGACTGACACAGAAAAGGAATATTATTTTTAGCACCATTTCAAAAACATAAGGCACAGGGTGGTGCCATTTGGGGGCCAGTCACTACAGGAAATGTGCTGCAGGAGGTGACAGGTGAGTTTAAACTCCACACTTCACACCACACCCTCCACCACTGTGATAAAGCCTTCCTGAGTCAACGCAATGGGAATTTTATCCACTTCATTCACCAGCATTTAAGGTCATCCACCTATTGCCAATATGTTGAACATGTGACAAAAATACAGTTGTCCGTGATATTGGCTGTTCTACAGTTTCATTCATCTGTCCTCAGTTTGCAAAGGCACAAACTGTGTTAATTCACAGCCCCTTTTAACTCAGTTCAGTCTGAACATTAAAGGTCTATGAGGTGTCAGACGAATAATTTTCCAAGGCACAAAAAACTCTAGGGAGGGAAAATGGAGATTCTCGGAGTTCTGGTACAGCAGCAGGCAGCAGTCTTTGCCAGCTTCATGAATGCCGGCAACTGAAAGGGCTGAGTACACACACACTCAGCACCACCTCACTAACCGCTGTTCCTGCCCTTAAGCACCTTACAGTTTAGCAAGCAAATCAAAAGGACAAAGTCTGGTTCCAACAACCTAATACTGTGTTATCTCTGAGATAACATAATATTAGGTTGTTTTGAAGGCAAATTACATCCACCTGGGAGGCAGTGAGGAAAATGATCAAAGTTTTTAAAAGGCAGTCTTGATATTAAGATATGATTTAGAAACCAAGACAACAGGGAAGAATTCCAGCAAAAGCAGAGATGCGAACTAGAGCAAGGTTGAGAAATTTCTAGAGTTTGGCAAGCTTAGTGGTTCTTAACTTTTCCATGTACCCCTCTTAAAAAACCCACATATAATGGATGAAGTTTACATTTGCAAACACATGTCTAATAGCATACCCAGGTTTTCTGGTTCCCTGCCACTCCCCACCCCCCAAATTTTCAGGTAAACCAAGCACACAATCTTTACTGGCACGACACAAATTTCTGTTGCTATATAAGCTGGTTTTGGAGTTAGGGAGCAAGTATAACCATCTATTGAAAGGGAAGAAGATGAAGGGATTCATTTTTCACAAACTCAAGCATTTCAGTATTAGTAACGACATATGAAGAGTTAAGTGGAGTTAAACCAAGAACTCAAAATCCAAGTTGCTGATTCACAGCCAAAACAGTGAGAGTACTACAAGTTTCTACTACTAGCTCCTCATCTACTATTCTCCACTTGACTTACGCTCTATGACAAAACGGTCTAAAGAGGAAAGATCAATCCTTAGCACATTTGTTTGTAGTCAGCCTCATGATTTAATTATTACCACAACTGAATCCCTACAATCTGTTGAGGCTGCAAAGTGAAGCAAAAATCATAACAAAAATTATATGTTGGCTATCTATTATAAACATATAAAATTATCTCTCTCCCTGATAAAAGCTGAGTATTTTAAACACAGCAATAATATTCAACCAAATAAAAGATGTAGGCGCTCAACTCGTAAGCAGAGCTTCTGATAGACAAGAGTACAAATTTCCATTAAACTTGCAACAGTTTAATAATTTAATGGAGAAATCAGTAAGGCAGTTTGAAAGAAATGTAGTAGGGAGGGATCAATTTCTTGCAGAAATAACTTACTTTATGATTGGGTTGTGAAAGTCAAGCATCAAACCGGGCATGTGTAATCAGCCTCCTATGTTCTGGCACACTGATCACACAGAAAAGCCTTTTGACTTACAAGGAACAAAGAATCCTAGTTATAGGCTCGGCGCCTGTGGCTCAAGCGGCTAAGGCGCCAGCCACATACACCTAAGGTGGCGGGTTCGAATCCCCAGCCCGGGCCCACCAAACAACAATGATGGCTGCAACCAAAAAATGGCCAGGCGCTGTGGCAGGTGCCTGTGGTCCCGGCGAGGCAGGAGACTCGCTTGAGCCCAGGAGTTGGAGGTTGCTGTGAGCGTAATGCCATGGCACTCTACCCAGGGGGATAGCTTGAGGCTCCGTCTCAAAAAAAAGAATCCTAGTTATATTTAATAATTTTGGTTATAATCATAAAACTTTCAAATTTCAATTTTAAGATGTAACATTTTGTGGATCCTTCTTTTGCATCATTTGCAGTAAAATTTTGGTACCCATTTCAAATGGATTCACTTAAGTCAGCGGTTCTCAAACTGTGGGTCATGACCCATAGGAACTGTATTAAAGGGCTGCAGCATTAGGAAGGTCCAGAACTGCTGACTTAAGTGATCTTTTGTTTGCTGACAATTATCCTCAGTTAACAAAAAGACTTTCTGTATTTAATTTGGTAATGATGGAAAGCCACTGAAAGTTTTGTTTCTTTAGCTTCCGGGTTGGGTGGGCAGGAAGTTAACTAACATTTACTGGGCGAGATCACACCACTTGGTGGTTTACAGCGATCATTTACCAGGTGTTTTATAATCATCGGGTTTAATTCTGGTCAAGCAATAGTGAATAACCTTGGGAAGGTTAACTGGTTACATCCGTATAGTAATGAGACTGGCAAAGGACTTTTTGTAATAGTCCAGGCAAGAGATAACACTGGATTTGGATAAGCGGTAAGTAAACATTTAATTCCTTGCAAATGAGTTAATTACTTGTCCTAAAGCAGCTTCTAGGGAAGAGGTAAATTCAAGCTAATTCCAAGAAGAAGATGGTTTTAAAGGAGATTGGACCTCAGAAGGCGAAAGGGTACTGCCCACAGTGAGTCTGAGGGGCTGCCAAAATATGCAAGTGGAGGGATTCATTAGATTGTTGGGGGAAAAAGGTTTTTTGGTTTTTTTTTTTTGAGACAAGAGTCTCACTTTTGCCCCAGGTTAGAGTGCCCTGGCATCAAGCTTAACTCACAGCAACTCCAAACTCCTGGGTTCAAATGATGCTACTGCCTCAGCCTCCCCAGTAGCTTGGACTACAAGTGCCGGCCACAACACCCGGCTTATTTTTCTATTTTTAGTAGAGACAGGATCTCACTCTTCCTCAGGCTGTTCTCAAACTCCTGAGTGGGAAAGGAATTCTTATAACCCTGACAGGAGTGCAGCCATTTCAGAAAATCAGGTCAGAAACCACCATCCCCTCGCTAGATTCCTAGGGCACCTCAAGGCCAAAGTTCCCATAATCCTGATCTTCACTAGAGAAGAGCCCCAGGGTGCTCCAGGCTCACTGTGCCATTACAGCTATACTGATGAGGCTGATACAAGCCTTCGGCAACTGTAGGGTGCTGAGCTGACACCTGGTCAGTCTCCATTCTGCTTTTCCTCTCCTTTAAAAGTCTTTCTTTGTCCCTAGACTGGCCTCCTCTCCTTTCTTAAGGACCCTCACCACAGTTCTACGCCAGAACTTCTCATTAAGCTCAGAGGATCCTCCTGTACTGGCCTCCCAGAGTGCTAGGACTACAGGTATGAGCCACCATCTTATCCAGCCAGATTGTTGGAAAGATTAATTTAAAAAGATTAGTCATGTTATGAACTCATAGAAGGAAGTGTTTTTTCATTACTTAATTTGTAATTGCACAATAACCCCTCCCTCACAATCACTTGGAATACTAACATTTCAGCATGCATTAAAAAAAAAAACAACAAAAACTATTTCCACTGCTGCAAAGGTTTTATTGAAGAAACTTGATGAATATAAACACTACATGGCTAAGTGAAGACAAACATGCTAGTTAAAATATGGTGAAAGCTAATTTAGCTGTCTCCATTCAAATACTTGGGCATCACCTATTTGTAATGTCAATTTATTTATTTTTATTAATTAATTAATTTATTTATTTTGCAGTTTTTGGCTGGAGCTGGGTTTGAACCTGCCACCTCCAGCATATGGGGCTGGTGCCTTACTCCTTTGAGCCATAGGTGCCGCCCAATGTCAGTTTATTTGATGCTGACTAAATGTGTAACAGGTTACTTAAAACCAACTGTAATACTAAAAAGTCACTGAACACATTTCTAAACTATACAGCGTGAATAAAAACTATCCGTACAAATTCCTTTCCTGTAGTGCGTATAAGTTCACAAACTTAGCTACTTCTCTACAAATAACCGCAATTTCATACTAAAGCCTTGCAACTGCCTCAACCTTCATACTCAAATGTTTTCTGGTCTGTTACAGTATTACTTCTCTCAGAAGGACTATGTTCCTGGGATTTAGTTTTCCCTTACGTTTATTAATTCCTATCTTCATCATAAAACCGCACCCAAATGTGCCCCGATCAAAGCTAACATTTCCTTCAGCTGTAACTTTTTTATTTCTAGGTCAAATCAAAACAAAATTGGGGTGACCCCTCATGTCACCCACTAAGTCTGTTTTAGATCTGTAACTGGCACTATTCACTCAACATCTATGGAGTACTGCTGCTTTTTTCCCTCAAAACAAAAAGGATTGCATAATCCTGGATTGCCCAAGTACATACTTATAAATGAAACACAATTGCCTCACTCCCAAGCACGGCAACATTATAATCTATTCACTTCTTTAAAAATGTATCCTTTAAACCAATGCTTCCAAAAACCCCACTTAGACAGTAACATTTTTTTAGAAAAACAAAGTATATTTCCAGGGGTGAGAATTGGTAACTCCAGAGGATTCAGTTTATTATCCTAATAAACAACTTTCTACAGAAGCCTGCAGTTGGTGGGTTTCTTATCTCTAATTTAAAACTGCTTAGGACCAGTAAGCGTGTCCTATTTCAAGGAGACATCTAAAATGTGTGCCTTTATACACAGGGACCAGGGATAAGTCCAAAGTTTATAATTCTAAGAAACACAACTAGACTTTAAAGGAGTTTCTCAGAAGCCAGTGATTTCTCATTCTTTTAAAGAAACAAGGAAAGAACAAAATTGGAAAGAAGGAATGATACTGCAAATTCTATTAGAATTCTTCCAGTCTGACTCCATCCGGGCAGGAATACTGATAAACATCTGGCTTCTTTTTTCCGGGTTGATTAACTTTTGCGGGGCTGGATTAAATGAATTTGGCGTTCAAAGGAGGCGATGGTACTTTCTCCTCCGCCTTCTCAAATCTATCTGTCCTCTGGTACCTCCAAAGTCACTCTAACCCCATCCCCCGCCCCTAGGATCGTACAGGCGGGATTCCTCCGGTCTCTCAAGACCCTCAACCGCAAAAGAATTCTACTCCTTCGCAGACATCTCAACGTTACCCTCAAGCTAACATTTCACTGGTGTTCTCCAATTTCTTCACTCCTAGTCGCCCAGGCTTTTCCGCCCCGATCCCTGGCTTTCCCCTCGCGCCCCCGTAGCGGTCCCAGCCGCAGACCCGGAGACACGCGCACGGCTGCCCGCACTGTCCGCCCCATCCAGATGTGCTCCCTCTCTCGTCCTTCTCCTTTCTTTCTCTCCTCCCCGAAGAGACATCGTGCGGTGACTGGCCCGCGCCCAAGTTACTTACTGCGGGTGAAGAAGGGAAGTCGGACGCAAGAAGAAAGGACGAACCCGAGGCAGTAGTTTCAGCAGATGCTGGAGCCACGATTAGACACCGGCGCCTCTCGCGGTGCTAGGAGGATATGCGCGCGCCCTCTCTCGGCACCCGTAGAGCCGCCGCCTCTGACCTAGCTGTAGATGATTACCTTCCGGGTCAAGGTGCGACTAGGCCGAAAGCGGACTCGGATCCTTCTTAAAGTTACTTTGCCAACACTGCCGCAGTTCCTCTTTGGAAACCAAAATTCTTTCTGTGTGCGCGTGTGCATGCGTGTCAAGAATACGCCCCACGACTCGCCTCCACTTCCTTTCCTCCGCCTTCCTCCTTTGCTTTAAGGACCGGAAGAGTCCTTGAACCAAAATAGCTCGACAGGCACTTCCGGGACCGGAGCCCAGGGTTCCCGGGCCGCGCAGGCAGGAGAGGGAAAGGCAGCGACGGCGGCAGCTGGAGGATGAAGAAGGAGCATGTGCTGCACTGTCAGTTCTCCGCGTGGTACCCGCTCTTCCGAAGCCTTACCATCAAGAGGTAAGGTGGGAGGGGTTACTCCGGGCCGACTGGCGGGAGGGAACTGCGACATTGGGCGAATTCCTGCTTCCAGGGGGGGAAAAAAAAGCAGGCCTTCTCCCGCCTGGACGGGAGCGACAGTGTCGAGGTGTTGGCTTCCTGAGTGGGGAGGCTAAAAAGGTCTGTGTTTGCGAGCAGGGGAGTGTGCTGGGGAGTTAGGAGGGCAGTTGGGGGTTCAGTGGAGTCGAGGGCGGGGTGAGTGGTGGGTTGACCTGGCTTAGGCTTGGCAGTTCACCATCCCTCGCTACTTGTAGAATGGCCACAGGTGCAAGGTATCTGCAGAACCGGTCCATCTGGGCTTTGCCACTCACTAACTCGCCAGGGACTTAATTGCTTTCCGCCTCGTGTGAGGGGGAAGTTTGGAGAGTTTCTGGTCAAATGATACATAATGACTGTTAGCGAGGGAGGAATAAGTGCAAGTATTTCTCTTAGAGAGATATTACTTAGAGAAAAAAAAAAAGAAATGCAAAGAGCATGGCTATGTACTGTTTGTACCAGAAAAATAACTGTGAGGTAATGCAGTTGTTAGCCAGATTAAACCATTCCACTTTCTACGTCTGTATACTTAAAAACTTGAGGTACCCTATAATTAACGTACAGTTTTATCTGTTAATTAAAAAGAGGCGATAGAAAACTGGAGTTTGCTGTTATTTATTTTGCGTGCCAACATTTCAAATACTGATGATTCATTGTATTATTTTTTTCATTCAATAACAATCAGATATATACTTTAAGACATTGTGTAGTTGGTTTAGAGTTGTGATAAGTTAAATGCATAAGGAAAAATGTCATGTTCTTAAACAGTATTGGAATGTTTGGGAGAACCTTCGGTTTACTATTCTTACAGTAACTGTTACCTTTATGAGTTAAGTACTTGAGAAAGCTTATTTGTAATCAGACAATAGACAATGTTTTAAAAATAAAATTGAATAAATTTTTATGAAGAGTTTACGTTTTTAAAGAGCCTTCCAAATTCTAAAGGCTTGTTTGAAATTGATTAAAATTTAGATTTATAAACAGAGTAAGATTTTCAGTTGAATTTAAAAACCTGAGGAAGAACTAGGTTTTTGAGTGTGAAATTGTAACTTTGGCAAATCAAATATTAATTTTAGAAACCAGAGTGACCCGTTAATTTTTTTGGTGTACAGAATCATTTGTAATATGACAAAAAAAACTTGTTTCATAAATATATGACGATATTCTATTGACTCTGTTAAAGCAGCCTGTAATCTTTTTTCACTGTTTGAAAAATACACATCTCAAGATCAAAATAATAGGCTCAGCGCCTATAGCTCAACCGGCTAAGGCGCCAGCCACGTACACCTAAGGTGGCGGGTTCGAATCCCCAGCCCGGACCCGCCAAACAACAATGACGGCTGCAACCAAAAAATAGCCGGGCGTTGTGGCGGGCGCCTGTGGTCCCAGCTACTTGGGAGGTGGAGGCAAGAGACTCGCTTGAGCCCAGGAGTTGGGGGTTGCTGTGAGCTGTAATGCCACGGCACTCTGCCCAGGGGGACAGCTTGAGGCTCTGTCTCAAAAAAAAAAAAAAAAAAAAAAAAAAAAAAAGATCAAAATAATAGCATTACTTTTAGGTATCTGTGACAATAATTTGTAATGATTTATTATTACAAGGAAAAACAAATTCTCTCCTAAGTTTTTAAGTGACTTCAAGTATGACTTTGCCATCTTTAATTATCATTGTCTGAAACAAATTAGGCTAAAGCATGCCCAGTTAAGCAGCTTTATAGCTGGTAATCTGTTCAATAGAATGCCACCCAAACCCATCCAGACACATCAAGAATTCTTAGCCTTAAGTGCTCATTGCCTCCCAAAGACTGGTTTCCAGGTCCTGAGTATACTTCTGCCCTCTTCTGGTTTACTTTGCTGCCTTTTCTGTGTTGCAGCAAATATCTGCAGGTCTCTGACACAGAAACATTGTGCTCACTCTGAGTTCTTCTGAGCTTGTTGCTTTCATAGTATGATTTTCATCTGGTTCTGTTTTTTCTTTGTTTGTTTCTTTGCCACAAAGACCTTTGTAGTAATTATGTAAACTGCACTTTTTTTTTTTTTTGAGACAGAGTCTAACTTTGTCACCCTTGGTAGAGTGCCATGGCGTCTTAGCTCACAGCAACCTCAGTCTCTTGGGCTCAAGCAGTCCTCTTGTCTCAGCCTCCCAAGTAGCTGGAACTACAGGCATCCGCCACAACGCCCAGGTATTTTTAGAGACTGGGTCTTGCTCTTGCTCAGGCTGGTGTGGAACTGGTGAGCTCAAGCAGTCTGCCGACCTTGGCCTCCCCAGAGTGCTAGGATTACAGGCATGAGCCCCTATACCCAGGCCTATAAACTGCTGTATTTATTGATGTTACTCTAATTCCTTTGCTGCTACATTATTAACACTTCATATTAAAATAAAAAGGACAAATAATTAAAAAATTGAGTGTGGGCTTTTGTCTCTTTGCTTATGATTGTCTTTTAAAATGATGTTTTTTTAATTGCCTTTTTTTTTAGTGTCATTCTTCCACTTCCTCAAAATGTGAAAGATTATTTACTCGATGATGGAACTCTGGTGGTTTCTGGAAGGTAAAGTACATAAAAAAAACATTCCTCAAACTTTATCATAAATGTGATGATGATGAATCTCAACAGTTAGCATATGAAATGAATACATTAGCTTAGGCACCAATCTCTCCCTTAGTTCTTTTTCTTTCCTGGCTCAAACTATGTGGTGATCTTTGTCTGGTGATCTTTGCCAGTGCTCAATTAATATTTTCACAGTTGGGTACTTCCCTTTGTAATAATTACTAGCTATGAAGTGGAGTCTTTTACTTTCATCTGTGCCTTTCGGAAAAGGATATAACTTTGCCTTCTGAAGGTAGCAGGATGGAGGGGTGCACTTTTGAGAGCCTTCAGTTTTTGCCATAAAAAATTCATTGTCCATTGTTCTTCATAGTTGACCTACTATGGCCCCACCCACACCTTGTAGAGAAACTACCAAACAGTTCCTCTATTTCTAAAGGGAAGAAGTATTTCATCCTTTTTAGTGCAAACTCAAATTTAGTGAAGTTACAGTCATTTCATTCATGTGTCTTCTCAGAGGTCGTTTTATCTAAGTGTTTATCCTTCACCATCCTGACCATAAACCCTTGCTGGTTTATCACACTTTATCCCCAACCTTCTTTTATTTTTCTGCATAACAATTATTCCTACTCAACATAAATCTCTTAATTGTTCTATCGACTGCAACTTCATGAGAACAGGCAGTGGGCAGATTTTGTTTATCCCAGCTCATGGGACAGTGTCTGATACTTCAGAGGTGCTCGGTAAACATTTGTTGGATGCATAAACCTTAGAAATAGAGTTGTATGATTTGGTAACACTACATTGACTTCATACTTTGGCCTGACAGATTTTAAGTGCAGCGTTCTGGGTTACGTTTCTGGTTTTGGCATTTACAGCCCCTTAATAACCTGAAAAGTATTATTTTAAAACCTCATTAACTTGGAATAATACGAGGATAAAGAAAGAGAAGGAAAGTTAAAATCTCATTAATTTGGAGTAATTGGAGGATAAAGAAACAGTAGAGAAGTTAGACAAGTCTCAAATTTGGGATATTCACAGACTTAATTTTATTATTCCCAAATATAGCACATATCATCTTATATAAATGAGACTGTAAATCAAATGACTCCTAATATTAGAAAAAACGCAATACATTTCAGTACTATAAACACATCAAAAAGCAACTGATTTTCACTGGCCAGATGCTTGCGCAGCCTCTGATTCAGGCACACTCTGTATTACATGCTGTTAGTGCTGTGCCGCACACAGGGTTGCACTGCGCTGCGGGAGGAATGCACAACTCCCATGAGGACTCTGCCTTTTTTTTTTTTTTTTTTTTAAGGCAAGCGTGGGACAAGGTTTAATGAGGAAGAGAAAGAGAGATTTATACAGTAAGAAAGTTTACAAAACGGGATAGGGGCATCACAGACAGACAGGCCCCTGTTGCCGAGGAAAGTAAACAAAGAGGCCTTTGCCCTGTCAGAGTTAACAGTTCAGCTTCGCCTTTTGTGGGCGTCAGTATGGTGTAGTGCTGGGGCTTTAGTCAGACTGCCTCGTTCTGTATCATCTCTTTGCCATTTTCTAGTTTTCTCTTCCTCAGTCTCCTTGTCTGTGAATGGGGCAGGTGACAGGATAGTGCTTACCTTGCAGAATTGTTGCAAGGATTTGAGACCTGCTAGTGGGGTCAACTGAGGTGGTGACAGCACAGGGGGAAAGAGCAGATTTGAGATGATTTGGCTCTTGTACCGTCTTTACTTGATGATGGAGAAGAGCGTGTCAAGAATGTCATTTGCTGAGGTTGAGAAAAGCAATGTTTATTGGATTTCAAAAGAGTAGTTATTTTAGGTTGGGTTACTTTTATAGATGAAAAACTTGAAAATTGTAGATATAATTAAAATAAGGTAGGCCAGTCGCAGTGGCCCATGCCTGTAATCCCAGCACTCTGGGAGGCCGAGATGGGTGGATTGCTTGAGCTCAGGAGTTTGAGACCAGTCTGAGCAAGAGCGAGGCCCCATCTCTACTAAAATAGAGAAACTGAAGCAAGAGAATTGCTTGAGTCTGAGCTGGAGGTTGCTGTGAGCTTTGCTACCAGGGCACTCTACCCAGGGTGATGCTTGAGACTCTGTCTCAAAAAAAAAAAAAAAAAAAAGAGGTACATTTGCAGTGAAATGCATGGATCTGAAGTGTATAATTTGACAGATCTTGACAAATGGATTACACGTATTTTAGTACGACTCCATTCAAGATGTAGAGCACTTCTATTCCCCAGAAAGGTTTCTCTAGTCCCTATCTTAGTCCCCAAGACTGCCCTCCCATTTTGATGCCCCAGGTGGTTTTGCCTGTGCTTCCGACTGACCAGCTGTAAATCCAGGGCCCCCTCCTTGGGTCTGATGAAATTTGCTAGAGCAACTCTCAGAACTCAGGGAAACACTTGCTTAGATTTACTGGTGTATTACTTTAAGGGATGTTACCAAGGATACAGGTGAAGAGATGCATAGGGTGAGTTGAGGGAAGAGGAGCTTCCATGCTCTCCCTGGCTGGGCACACGACCCTCCAGGAACCCCTCCATGTGTTCACTTGTCCAGAAGTTCTTTGGACTCTGTCCTCTTGGTCCTTTTATTAGAAACTTCACTGGATAGGCTAGATTGACAACTGTGTACAAGTGTGATTGGACTAAAACGAGTATGATTTAATGCTAGTAGACTGCCTGGGAAACCAGCAAAGCTGTCTGGTCAGATTCTTCGTGGCCTCTGTGTGCGGCATTCCTTCCTCCCAGATGTGGGACAGGAGCCCTTCTGACGTGGAGAGCTTAGGGCATACCATCTGATAAGGTAGATCAGAGAGTTTCTTTGTGGCCAGCTCTAAGACAGAAAGGCAGGGGAAGACTAGGGCATATTTTTAGTCTCTGTAGCTTGACTTGGGGAGACAGAGTAAGTGAAAGGAAGACAGGAGAAGTTTCAAGAGAGGTTGTGCTCCCAAGCTGCCTTCTAACTTCTAAAACACCCCAGTGTTGTAACAAAAGACTGTAACATGGGCTGTGTTCATTACAGACAGGACTACAGATAAAACTTAGTGTATATAAGCGTCACAGCAGGGCTGCTTCAGTGCAGTGTAACACTTTGACATTCAATTGCATTGTCATCCCACTTCGTTGCTGAATGCTGGTTTTTAAACATGTCTCTCAAAAGCTCAGGTTTTGGGTTTGTTTATGTAGTTTGGGTGTGTAGCTATCCTAGTATATTCCTTGGCTATCCTAACCCTTTTTGCTTCGCTAAATTTAGATAGTAAGAGTTAGTTGAGTGAGTGTGTGTATTAAAAATATTATTTATAGAATACTATAACCGCACGTATTAATTTGTGGTATTTTAGCTCCTATACATGAGATATATTTTTGCATCAAGAGATAAAGCATTATAGTTAGGAATAAATATGGAGGAGTTAATGAACTAGGCTTAGTTGAATATTCTGTCTTTGCTGTTGGTAGGCCAGTAGGGAACTGCTCTGTGCTATTTGCAGATATTTGAGATATATCAATTAGGTATCTTTCCTTGGCATAAACTATAGGCATATGTATGAAATACCTTGGTAAGATAAATTCTGGAATAGTGGAAAGGGACAGTAATATGAATACTTTGAGATTCTATCACTTGTAAAAGATGTCCTTTTTAAAACATTGTAAAAGTAGTACTTGCTCATGTAGTAAATTTGAAAACTGCAGAAAAATTATCCATAATTTCACCATCTAAAAGCAGATGACATTGCTATTTTAGCATATTTTATTTTCTTTTTCTTTCTTTCTTTTTTTTTTTTTTTTTTTTTAAGAGAAAGAGTTTCACTTTTGGCTTGGCATCTGTGGCTCCAGCCACATACATCTGAGCTGGCAGGTTTGAATCTAGCCCAGGCCCGCCAAACAATAATGATGGCTGCAACCAAAAAATAGCTGGGCATTGTAGTGGGCACCTGTAGTCCCAGCTACTTGGGCGGCGGAGGCAGGAGAATCACTTGAGCCCAGGAATTGGAGGTTGCCATGAGCTGTGATGCCACGGCACTCTACTCAGGGTGATAGCTTGAGGCTATGTCTTAAAAAAAAAAAAAAGGCTCACTTTGTTGCCCTCAGTAGAGAGCTGTGGTATTACAGCTCACAGCAACCTCCAGCTCTTGGACTCAGGCAACCCTCCTGCCTCAGCCTCCCAAGTAGCTGGGACCAGCTGTCACACACCTGGCCATTTTTTGTTGCAGTTTGGCTGGGGCCCTGTTTGAACCTGCCATCCTTGGTATATGGGGCTGGAGCCCTACTCACTGAGCCACAGGCACCGCCTTAGCATATTTTCTTTAGTCTCTCTTTTTTTTTTCTTTTCTTTCTTTCTTTCTTTCTTTTTTTTTTTCCTTTGAGAAACAGAGTAAGACTCTTGCCTGGATGGAGTGCCATGGCATCAGCTGAGCTTATAGCAATCCCAGACTCCTAGGTTCAAGTGATCCTCCTGCCTCCTGCCTCAGCCTCCTAATAGCTAAGACTATGGGCAGCTGTCCCACAGCCCAGCTAATTTTTCTATTTTTAGGAGAGACCAGGTCTCATTCTTGCTCAGACTGATCTTGAACTCCAAAGATCAAGGGATCCTCCTGCCTCAGTCTCCTAGAGCAGTAGGATTACAGGCATGAGTCACCGAGCCCAGTCTCTTTAGTCTTTTTTTTTTCCTTTTTGGAGACAGAGTCTCACTATGTCGCCTTCAGTAGAGTGCTTGGGCTTAAGCAATTCTCTTGCCTCAGCCTCCCAAGTAGCTGGGGCTGTAGGTGCCAGCCACTATGCCCGGCTATTTTTCTGCAATTGTATTGTTGAATTGTTATATTGTTGTATTGTTGTTTAGCTGGTCTGGGCTGGGTTTGAACCTGCCAGCCTCAGTGTATATGGCTGATGCCGTAACCACTGTGCTATAGGCGCTGAGCCCTCTTTAGTTTTTTATACATTTTTTTATCCTAAGTTGTTAGCATACTGCACATGTAGTTTTGCATTCCTTTTTTCA